TGGAGCCTGCTTGGGATTCTCTCTCTCTCTCTCTCTCTCTCACTCGCTGGCTCTTGCTCTCTGCCCCTCCCCCACTCCCTCTCTCTCTCAAAATAAACATTTAAAACAAAAAAAGAAAGACGTGCCTATGTGCACTGATATCTACTGTTCGTGGAGATGTGCTACAATTTTAAATTGTAGGATGATTCACATACACAATACAAGCCCATTTGCGTAAAAACGAAAGGACTGACAACAAATCTTTACGTGGTATATGCACATACATGTACACAGATGAATAGGAAGACGTGTGTGGAAGAACCCACACCCGGGAGCTAGAAGTTGTTACCTCTGGGAGGTGTTGCAGGTTGGGTTCCCAGGGAGGCAGGTGCTGAGATGGAGTTGGGAGCGCCAAGGGTGTACTGGGAGGAGCACCCGGCAAGGGAGAAGGGCAGAAGCGGGACTGGGCAGGGGGAGCCGGCAGGTGGCAATGCAGCTCTGAAAAGTCTCTGGGAGCCCAGAGCAAAGGGTGCCATTGGGGGAGGGCTTGCGTTCCCGGGGAAACGGGGAAACGTCCAGCCCCGAGTGCCACAGTCTTGCTCAGCTGTTGGCCGGGTGGGCGGTGGAGGGGGGTGTGGGGGGGGCTGTCGACTGTGGGGGGTGGAGGGGGAGGAGGGGATCAGAGCAGCTCAGGCACGTATCAGCCACGGAGGACGTGGAGTGTGGGGAGGAGGAGACGACAGAGAAACTTTTACTTTTCCTAGCCCTTGACTTTGTACTGGAGACTGTATCCCTCTGTGTAAGTTATAAACAGAGGGACTGACGAATATTCTAACTGGCTCGCGCCTGTGACTCCTCCCCCTCAAGGCAAGTCCTCGCTTGCCCTCAACAGCTGCAGTGGCCCAGGGACCCACCCAGCTGCAGCTTTTACCCAGTTTCTTTTCGTCTGGCTTTAGCTAAGAAGACCATATGCTCGTATGCGCTTTCTCCGTGTCTGACGATGCTGTCCCAATATTAACGTTCCTTTCTAGGAACGGGATTGTGGCGCTTTGCAGATTCGGTGTGTCCAGTGCGATACTAAGGCTGCGGACAGACGAAGCAAGAGCTTAGGTCCTCCCAGGGGACATGGAGAGTCACATTTGCAGCTGCACGCTTTTTAGGGCGGCCTGTGCTCCTTGCCGAACGAGAAGTTCAAGTAAGGGGCATTAGCATCCAGAGGAGGGGGGCATGGTTCTGCCCATCTCAAGCATGGTTCACATCAAGTCAAGTTTCTTAGAGGGGTGGCATTTGGACTTGGCCTTGAAGGATGGAGAAGGAAGGGAAGAGAATTCCAGTCAAAGGGAACAGCATCAATAATAAAAGAGGCAATGTGCAGTATATTTATAGGCTCCAACATAATTCAAAAGTCCCAAAGTCAGATGGCCTTCAGACAAGTCCCAGTCCCGTGTCTCCCGTGTCTCCCAGGGCAACTTGCCACACGGCCCTGCGTGGTGTTGGCTTCATTGCCAAATTCCAAACAACGGCTCCCCTCCAGCTGTAGATTGCTTACAAAATGGCTGCCACCCTTCCAGACCTCACATCCTCACACTGGCCAGGGGAAAAGGGACTCACTCCTTCCGATAGCTACCAAGGAGGGTGCCGTTAGCCTCACTTTCCCATAAGGCTCCAGCACATGCTTTCTGACATCTCACTGGCTCTACTTGGGTTACATACCTACCCCTGGAGCAATCACTAAGGTCAGGGTAGATTTCTAGGCCCTGCAAGGACTTGATTGGAGATAGTTTCAGGTTAAAGACAATGCCAATTCCTGTGGTGGCAAAGGGGCATCAGAATTTGCCATTTACTCCTAAGGCTAGAACAGGAGTCGAGATACAGATGTAGCGAAAGCCTTCAAAGGCATCGTTAGAGGAAAAGACAGGACAACACAGAGATCTATAATTTTTTTTTTCCTGCTACACTTTAATTGCCCGTCTCTGGCATGCGCCGCATAAATTAAGAGCTAGTTAATGCTGTAATGCGTAAAACAATTTCATGCATCTTAAATATTGCACTTGTACTTTAATTCCACATTAAGTGGTCCCCTGAAATTTTTAAATTTACAAAGTCACTGCTGTGCTACATGAAAAAGGTGCTAATTAAGTGTTAATCAGTAGCCAGATAACCTTCCCTGAACCCTGCCCAAGGTCTCCAAAATGACCCATTGCCAGAGAATGTGATGTGATGGCCACAGAACAGAGAACGAAGACACAGACGTGAAATGGTTTCTTAGCCACATCCCAACCAATTAAGGCAGATTTGCCTATTATGCCGTTCTAATTAAATGACATCTACTATAGTGGACACGAGGCTAATAATAATAATAATATTTAATGCTGGCAGAGCTTTCCATATTCAAAACACTAGCTAATTAACAAGTGGGCATCCCTTCCTGGGCAAGGAGAGGGCTTCTTTCGGGTGGTCCTGCTAAAAATCTGAAGGCACGCACAGGATGGTTACAATAAAAGTGGTTCCTCCCTTTAAGGGACTCACCATCTTATAGACGAGCGGTACTCAGAGTGTGGTCTGTGGCCCGTGCTAGTCCACAGTAAGATAAGCATAAGAGTAGCCATTCTGAAACCTTGAAAGCAACTTGACCTTGTAACATCCAGGCCGGTGATGAGCGGACTCTTATTGAACAGGAAATTAAACACACACACACGCACACACGCACACACACCCCACACGCACGTTTTTCACCACAGATGGTCTGAGAAGCACTGTCACAGACCTATTGGTGTAGAATAAGGGGATATGGATTTAGCTGCATTCCCACGAATAAAAGAGAAGAGGCTTAGCAGCATGCTATCTCACACCTCTATATTAGTCTGCTTGGAATGTTCCGCACCCCCAGCTCCTCCACGTTCTGTTCAACCTCTCTTTCACACACGTCAAGGCATCTCCGTTCCTGGACCGTCCCGCGAAGACACTACTTCCTTCGGGAAGGCTTCGCTGTGCCCCCTCCGCTCTCCCCTGCAACGGAGCCACCCTGCCATCTTCCTCCCTCAGCTGCGTTATTACACTTTCCACATGGCACCGAGTATGTTGCTTTGCCTGACGGGACTGACCGGTCCTTGAAGGTAGGGCTGATGCTCTATGACTTTGAATTCCTAGCGCAGGGCACATACTACATGCTCACTGAAGGTTTACAGATTCAGTTTTCAGAAAATGGTGGAGGGACCCCGGGGGGGCTCACTAGAATAAGCGTCCAACTCTTGATCTTGGCTCAGGTCATGATCTCGTGGTTTGTGAGCACGAGCCCCTCATCAGGCTCTGTGCTGACAGTGGGGAGCCTGCTTGGGACTCTCTCTCTCTCCCTCTCTCTGCCCCCTCCCTCTCTCTCAAAATAAACTTTTTTTTTTTTTTCCAACGTTTATTTATTTTTGGGACAGAGAGAGACAGAGCATGAACGGGGGAGGGGCAGAGAGAGAGGGAGACACAGAATCGGAAACAGGCTCCAGGCTCTGAGCCATCAGCCCAGAGCCTGACGCGGGGCTCGAACTCACGGACCGCGAGATCGTGACCTGGCTGAAGTCGGACGCTTAACCGACTGCGCCACCCAGGCGCCCCTCAAAATAAACTTTTTAAACAAATTGTGCGTAAAATACACATAACATGAAAGTTGCCATTTTAACCATTTTGAAGCGTACAGCTCAGTGACATTAAGCGCTTTCACACGGTTGTGCAACTGTCACCACCATCTCCAGAACTTTTTTCATCTTGCCAAACTGAAACTCTGTCATTAAACACAAACTCCCCATTCTTCCCTCCCCACCCAGGCCTTGGTGACCCCCATTCTACTTCCCATCTCTATGAATTTGACTACTTTAAGTACCTAATATGAGTGAAATTATATAACATTTATCTCTTTGTGACCAGCGTATTTCACTTAGCATGTCTTCAAGGTTCATCCATGCTATAGGAAGTGAATTCAGAAGTGAATTCAATAGTTTTTGTTTATTTTTTTTATGTTCGTTTATTTTTGAGAGACACAGAGACAGAGCGCGAGCAGGGGAGGGGCAGAGACAGAGGGAAACACAGAATCTGAAGCAGGCTCCAGGCTCCGAGCTGTCAGCACAGAGCCCGACGCAGGGCTCGAACTCACAAACTCTGAGATCATGACCTGAGCTGAAGTTGGATGCTTAACCGACTGAGCCACCCAGGCGCCCCAAATGCAATGTTTTTTAAGTTTATTTATGTTTTTAGTAATCTCTATACCCAATGTGGGACTCGAAGCCACAACCCCGAGATCAAGAGTCGCACACTCCTCCAACTGATCCAGCCAGGCACCCCGTGAACCCAGTTTTAAAATCCTCCCATTATTATACGGTTATTGCAATGAGCAGGGAGGGCATCCCCCCTTCCCACCATCCCGTTCTGCTTGTAGTTGAAGCAGAGTCGAGCAGAGAGAGGAAAGGGGTGATGGTGATCCAGGAGGTGGCAGCAGAAAACAAAGGGTCCCCGTGCTCCAGCAGAGTTGCTGGGCACCCATTCTGGCCCGTTTGCTCAGGTTCCTGGCCCAGCTATTTAGCCTCTTGAAAGTTGGAGTTCCCAAATAGGGACAGTAAGCCCAGCAAGGAACAGTCCCAAGAGGCCTTGTGACAATGGGCAGTGGAGTGACCTTGGGCAATTCACCTAACCTCTCTGAGCCCGGTCTGTAAAATTGGGAAGATACTGCAGTGTACCTTTCTTTTCTTTAAAAAAAAAAAAAAACTTTACTTTTTACTTTGAGAGATAGAGAGGGGCACGGGGACAGGCAGAGACAGAGAGAAGGAGAGAGAGAGAATCCCAAGCAGGCTCCCAGCTGTCAGCACAGAACCCGATGCGGAGCCTGAACCCATGAATCGTGAGATCATGACCTGAGCCAAAGTCAGATGCTTAACCGACGGAGCCACCCCGGCGCCCCAATACGGTGTACCTTACAGGGTCGTTGAGGGGATCTGATGAGATAACGCATATAAACCACTCGGTAAACTTTAAAGAAGTGCACGTGCCAGCTATGGGTATTTTTATTACCAGTACAAAGGCCGCAATAAAGAAGACGGTAAGGCTCGCTGTGCACACTTCCCGCTGAGGATGTGAAAAATAGCTAGGGCACGATTCGGCCTTCGTCTTTGGAGCATTTCGGATTTCATTCTTTTTTTCTTTCCTCCTCCCTCTAAACCTTTGCCTTAAGAATGCAAGGGCCACCGCGCTGCCAATGCGAGAAAGTAATAGGCACCACAGAATTCACGAGGGCATCAGCAGGCGCGGGTGGGAAGCGTGAGCCGTGCAGCGGGTCGTGCGCTCATAACAAAACGCCAAGGGGCAGAGGCTTACCTTGGAGGAGCCCACGGCGGGCTTGAACCCATGAGCCATGAGATGAGGACCTGAGCGGAAGAGTCAGACACTTAACCGACGGAGCCTTCTCTACTCACTTCCGTCCCCCTTTGCAGTTTGGGTAACCATGACCTCCTCCTGTTCCTTTGGTCCAGGGTGGTAACAAGTCGGGTGCTAACAGTTTCTGCTTCTTGGCTAACCCTGTGGTTACCCTACACCCACATCTCTGTTGATGGGCCCTTTGTACATAAATACTTCTCAAACTATCCTAATTGCTTCCTGTTGAGACCCTGCCTGATCCACGTGCCTGTGGCCAGGGCCATTCTAAGCAGGGTAATTGTCGCTGCCCGATGTCCCGCAACCCCCCTCCTGCCTAGCTCTTCTCATTTTGGGCCGTAGTTGAAGGAAACAAAGGAGTCGGGCTACATCCAAGAACACGAGAGTTGAGGGTGGGGAAATGTCCTGGATGTTGGGAGAGACCAGGCTGAGCTCTTTGGGTGAGATCCCTGGGCCTGGGTTGGGGGTGGGGGAGGGGAGGAGGCGGTGGTAGGGTGGAGGGGAGCGAGGGAAGCACGGAAAAATCTCTTTTTAGGAATGCTGTTTGTCTGTGGGAACACACACCTCGCCCCTTGTGGCCTCCAGGGAGGCGTTTATTGGCCCCCATTAAAGTGGAGCCTGACCTCACCAGTCTCTTTCCGTTCCAGGCAGATCAGAGGCCTTCGGCTTTTCTGGAACATCGAAGTACGACAGCCACCACGTTCCCTTCTTCAAGAACCTGCTTGGCCCCCTTCCCAGAGATGCTGCTTCTCAGTCCCCTCTAAGGGGCCCCCCCGAGGGCACGAGACCCTCCCCTCGGCCACAGCTGATTGGGTAAGGGAGGGGCACCTGACCCAACCAGGCCAATTAGAAGCCCTCCCAGGAACTTGGCCGGGGCGGGGGGCACACCTAGGCAGTTCCAGGCAGTCTCCGTGGGCTACTTGAACGCTGTGCGCCAGGCACAGTTGTGGGCTCAGGGGAGGGCGGAGTGAACGCAGCGAGGAGGGTCACCCGCAGCAGCCACCTTCCACCTTGGGCACAGAGCAGCACCGGGAGCTGGGAAGGAAGAAGGTCCTGGGAGGAAAGCAGCCGTCAGAGAGCTCAGAGCCTCCGACACGGAGCGGGAGAGGAGAGGGCTGCCAAGGTGCCTGCCGGCCCCCCACTTGCCGGTTCCCTTCCCCAGAGGCCGGCCGCACTTCCTGCCCTTGAATCTCCGAGGTAGCCTCCTGTTCTTCCCATAAATTCTCCCTTTTTACTGGAGCTCGCGCAAGTGGGCTTCTGTTTTGTGCCGCTAGACTGTCCCTGCCCGAGGCGCACCACGTGATACAATTAGCTCACGGTCCCTCAGGGGCAATTTATCCTTTCTGCAGACTGTCTGCCATAAATTTCGAATCTCCACCTGGCTTCCCCTTGCCGACCAGTGAGTGTCCTTCTGGGTTCACTTTTGTTCTCGCGGGCCGCCAATGAGCTCGTGTCACCGGATCCGATGGCCTCTCCGTGCCCCGTCCCCTCTTGTCTCCCCACTGTTCCACATGGCTGACCGCCCCCTTCCTCCCCCCCACTCCGCCCCACGTGGCTTCCCTGCCACCCCTCTCCCCTGCGTCTCTCTCTTCCTCCCTCTCCTGGTCTTCATTTGTCTCCTTGTCTGGCTTTCCTGGCGCCTCGAGTGCCCCACTTTGTTTGCCCCGTCAGCCTCTTCCGAACGTTCTTTCTGGCTCTCTTGGCAATCCCCCCCCCCCCAACCTTGCTGTGCTTTTTATCATCACCTGTCTCCAGACGCAGGTTTGCACCTCGGCCCCCGGTTCCGTCCCAGCTGCTGGAAGCCGCACGTGGGCCCCCCCACCGGCCCTCCGACTTTGTGAGCCCCGCAGTGGTCTCCATACTTGCCCTCCCGGCCTGACCCTCTTCTTGTGTTCCCTAGTTTGGTTAATGAGGCAGAAAAGTTTCTGTGCCCTTCATCCGTGACTCTCGGAGCCGGGAAATTTTGGCAGGGAATTTTGGCCAGGCTCCGCGTCGCTTTGCCAGGAAATACCCACCTTGGGCCTCACTCAAGTCGTGATTCCAATTCCTTTGACTTTCTCCTTGCTGCTCACATTAGAACGAATTACAGGAGCTCCTTGGAGCTAAGGTGCTCCCTGTCTCTCACACTCAGGTCCGGCCTGAGGCCCGCGAAGGAAGGGAGCCCCATGTAGCCGCTGTGTTATCCACACCGAGGAGGCTGCTCTGTCGGCCTTTGCCCCCGGCCCTGAGGGATTCATTCCCTGGTGGGCATCAGTTAGAGACCTTCCATCCAGTGGTCTGGGAGAGCAAGGCCAACGTGAGTCTGTCGGCTCTCGGCCGCAGGGAGGGCAGGCTGTGTGGAGCCGGAAGGCCCCGTATGCTGACACCGTCCGTTCTGAGCTCAGCTCACTGCCTTCACCTCGCGACCGCAGATCTCAGATGACAATTCACAAGGCCACGTGTCCCTCTCTGGCCCTGCCAGAGTGACCCCAGTCCCCGCCGGCCACAACATAAGGACCCGTGCAGAAGGAAATGTGTTTCCTTGGGGGTGTCGCGGTCGGGGAAAGACGGGTGGGTGCTCCCGAAGGACGGGCGGCTCTCCTCTCTAGAAGTGATTCAGGGCCCCACGTGCCTTCCGTCTTGTTGCTCTGACGGGTTCGTTGGTACCAAGGTGTGGAAGGGGAAGAACTCATGGGAGGCTTCTATGGGCCAGACCCGGCTGTGACATCCACCCTTTCTGTCCGCATGCCATGGGCCAGAACGAGGTCGCCTAGCCACACCTGGGAAACATAGGCGGAACCAGTTAGGGAAGCGATTAACTCACTTCTGACCCAGGGCCTGACACACTGAGCACAGTAAACCATTGGTCTCAAGGCAGCATCGGCTGTTGCAGAGAGAGATTCTGAGGGACTGGGGCACAGACCAGGACTATCTTGGGGAAAGAAGGTGGAGGGTGGGGGTCCACCGGGAAGAAGCCGGGCTGGACCTCTGAGGAGGCCCCCCAAATCAGAGAGGTGTCCCTGAATTTGAGGTTACGACGGTCTCTGGCAGGACCCCCGCCTTCCACCCTCTTTCCCCAGAGGTCTTCCCACCAAGATAGTCCCGGTCTGTGCCCCAACTCCTGCTACACGTAAGCCCTTGCATGGAGACCCTCTGAGCGTCAACCCAGCCTGCTCCTGGCACAGCTACTCGACTTCCAGCAAGGGCTGGCCACCCCAGTCCCTGTGCTGCTGCGTCCCATAGCTGGGCAGTGACTGAGGACACAGCCTCTGAGATAAGAAAGAGACAACCCAACGCTCTGATGCTCACAACAAAAGACTCATCTGTAAAAAGACGTAATGGATCAGATAATCGAGTGACTGTCATCCCAACTCAGTAACCACTCGTCACATGTGACTATTTGCATTTAGTAGATTAAAATTAAATAAAATACAAAATTTAGCTCCTCGGTCACGCCAGCTACATTCCAAGTGCTTAATAGCGACATGTGTCTGGTGGCCACTGTACTGGACAGCGAAGATGTGGAACATTGCCAGCATCGCAGAAAGTTCTGTTGGGCAGTGCTGATCCGAAAGGTGCCTCACAGCGCTGGCGGCCCATGACTTGATGAAAAGCAATGCCCAGTAAAAATGTAACGTCTGGTTAGCCCGAGCACTAGAGAGGGAGAGAGGGACGTAAGGAGGCTAGAGGAGAAGCAGAGGAAGGCACAGAGGAAACCTCTAGAAAGGAGAAATGCCCAGATGCAAGACGCAGGGCGTCACAGACACTGGGGGTTGTTTACAAGATCAGAAGAGACTCAGGTGTCTCAAGCAAAAGGGGTTTGGTTGTGAGGCAGCAGAGGTCTGGAATTGAATAGATGGTGAGCTCTGAGGGGGTCCTAGGAATCTCTCTACCTCTCTCTTGTTCTGCTTCTCTCTGTTCACCAGCCATTCTCTGCTGTTCACAACTTAACCAGCCGCGGGAAGACTGACACTGCCTTCTGTCCACGCCTGAGTGGCTCAGATTCTCGGTGTAGCTAAGTGAAACATGGCCCAGTAGGGAGAACGGGACTGGCCAACTCGTCTTTCCTCACCAGACCACACGATGGCCATGGTTCCCAGATCAGCCTCTGATTGGCTGCTCCTGGGTCAGGGGCCCTTTCTCGCCCAATCGGCTGCAGTCGGTGGAATGGAGTGGGATGGACTACCTGGAAAAGAATATGGCTACCCAGAGGGCAGGACGTGAAGGGTGGACAGGTTCCCTAAGAGGGGAACATGGGGGTGCAGACATAATGAAGCTTGGCTGGCCGGGATAAAAGGGAACCACATACCCATCAAAGATGAGTAGATAAGGGGGCCCCTCCACCCTTCCTTCCCCTAACAGACATTGTGCACCTATTATGGGTATCATTCTGTACTCAGCAGAACAGGAAAGGCCCAAATGAAACAGTAATAGAAATAGTGTTGCCTCTCCAATCCAGGCTCTTCTAGTCAGCTGTGTGACCTTGGGCAAATTACTTCCCTTCTCTGTGCCTCAGCTTTGCCGAAGATAATAACAGCACCTCCTTCATGGGGTTGTCGTGAGCTGCTTGGAACAGTGGCAGGCAACGTAGTGGGCGTTATGTAAATATGGCTACGATTATTATCGGCCTGCAGGAGTTTATGGTCCTGTGTGGACCGCAGATGAGTAAATCAAATTGTAATGACACGTGATGAGTGCGATAACCAAGGTGGGGGAGAAACGTGCCTGGGTTCAACGGCTAGGCAGTCCGTTCAGGCTTCTAAAGAAAAAGCAGCAGCCTCTTTGGCTCTACCCCAATTTCTGCTACCCGGAAGGATCCGCTTTTGACTCTCTGATCTATTTATTTCTTCTCGTATTTACCTTCATGCTTCTAAAGAATGTGCTTGTGCTGTTATTTCTTGATCTATTAATCCGAGACATTATCCATCTGTTAGGGGTTGAATTCTGTCCTTCCAAAAGATGCTGAAGTCCTAACCACCGCCCCCCTCCCCGTACCTGTGAATGCGACCTTGTTTGGAAATAGGGCCTTTGCAAGGTGATCGAGTTAAGATGAGGTCATTGGGGTGGGCCCTAATCCAATGTGACGGATGTCCTGAGGAAAAGGGGAAATTCAGACCCAGACACAGACACGCACGCAGGGAGAACACCACGGGAAGATTGAAATTATGCCTGCCACAAGGCAAGGAGTACCAGAAGCTGGGAAAGAAGCCTGGAACAGATCCTTCCCTAGTGTCTTCGGAGGGAGCACGGCCCTGCCGATACCTCCATCGCAGACTTCTAGCTTCCAGAATTGCGAGACAGTACATCCTTGTTGTTTAAACCACCCGGTCTGTGGTCCCTTATGATGGAAGCCCTAGAAAACAAACCCATCATTGATTGTTTTTACTTGAAAGTCAAATTTGACTCCCCCTCTCCAAACCTGTACTGTCTCTTGCCTCTATTATCCTAGTAAAATTATGTCACAATTTTTTTTGTTGTTAAATCAATAGACAGTGTTGATAAGTATGTAAATGTATTCACTGCCATGTCGGGTAGTGTGCTTAGAATACCCGTCCTTTACTGTACAAAGTTTTGTTTTCCTTACAGTTAATATTTATCTCTCACCCCCTTTCGGTTTGTTCAGCCTCTGGATTCATTCCGATAACCGTCCCCCCACCTAGCTTCTTTGCTTTTTTTCTTTGAGACCCTGTTCCCGAATCCTGCACGCTGCTGCTGTGGTCAGCCTGGGTTCCGCTCCGGGCCTGTGGCCCAGCGATCCCCCTGGGATCTCCGCTCACCATCCAGGTGAGAATTCTTGCCTCTCTCCAATATGTGGGATTTCCAGTTTTCTGAATCCCACGCTTTCCACGTCTATCATCATTTTTTCTTTGGTAGCTGTCTATTGCTGCATAAAAAACCCCCCCAAACTTCGTGGCTTAAGACGACAATCATCACTTAACTCCCTTTCCAGTAAAGCCCCGCCTGCTTTCGGCATGGCGCCCTTGCAGCCAGCTGAGCATGGTGTCCTGAGTCCAGAGCCCTGTGCATTCAATCTCCCCCGAGAGTGAGCCCCTAGGCTCCGCCAGGGCAGGAGATGGCGGATGGGCGTGAGGTCACCTGGCTGGGAGAGGTGGAAGGGTCTAATTGCTTCTTTCTTTTTTTCTTTTATTTGTTTGTTTTTTTTAGAGAGAGAGTGAGCACTAATGAGGGAGAGGGGCTGAAGGAGAGAGAGAGAGAGAGAGAGAGAGAGAGAGAGAGAGAGAGAATCTCAAGCAAACTCCACACTCAGCATGGAACCTGACACGGAGTTTGATCCCATAGGAGGACCCTGGGATCATGACCTGAGCCGACATCCAGAGTCAGATGCTCAACCGACTGAGCCACAAGGCACCCCTCGAACAGACACGCCAACAGTCCTGTTTTCAGCCCATCTGTACCTTCTGCAGTACGTGGGGCCTCTGATTCCTTAGCCTTTCTTGGGTTCTGCTGTCTGAATCACCTTGATTCTTGCAGCTTCTACGTCCATAGGCACTGAGCTTCCAGCA